TGGATGGGTGATCGCTCTGATTTTTGTGATTAATTCTAATCTTCTGTTTCCAATTAGCTCTTGAACTGGCTTTCTTACTGATACTGCCATGTGATGTCTGCCTTCATTCCCCTAAAACGGCAGTCTGGCAAATTTTTTCTGGTAACCCATGGAGCAGAGGACTGTCACCAGCTTTGGGCTGGGCTGGGTTTCCCCTGGGTTAGAGTTGGTTGGAGCTCTGCAAGCTCCAGGTGAGCTGCCAGGAGCACAGGGTTGTGACTACAGACAGAGAGGGAAAACTGGGAAGTTTATATGGACTAGGCGTATCAGCTTAGAGGACTGAGACAAAGGAAAGCGTCTTTTCTGTACTCTGAATTAGCGTGGGCACTGGGACTTGTCTGGCTGCTTGGTGGCAGCTTTGGGTATCTGGAGAAACAGTTTTTTAACTGCCCAGAGCTCCACTCGCATGGCTGCATTTAAGTGCCCAAGGGGCTGACGGGGTGTCCATCGGTTGGGCACTCTGAGACGAGGGTCTTTACTTTCCACGTGCCTCCTGCTTCGGGTGTATCTGTCCCTTTGTCAGTCTGGTTTTGAGGATTAATCAAGAGAATCTTAGTTTAGCTTGGCAAAAGAGTTACATAAGCATCATTAATCTTGCATAATAACTACAGTAGTTAAGACTTTAAAGCCCAGCTTCCTACTTTCTCTAGAACTAGTTCCTGTTTTGAAATGTGATGATGTATTTCAGGAACTGCTAATTAGCAGCATCCCTTGAAAATTCACACGGGCTTATTCTAAGAACTTTTCCCTTCGTACTCAAGTGTGGGTTCTTTAAATTATTATTTCCATAAATCATGTCAGCATTCCTACATAACTCTGCTCGATTTTATCCTAAAATAATCCGCAGCTTATTTTTAGACACTAGGATTAGCGATCTTACTCTTCCGTAGTTAGAGATATGCGAATAGATGGATGCAACATGGTACAGCAGGGGGTTACAATATAGACTTTGAATTCTTGCATTGTGTGTTGGACCTGCAGCCGTGCCCAGGGGCGGCAGTCAGAATCAGGGCACAAGCTTATGGAAAGATGCACAGAGCCTCTCTTCTGAACAGCTTTACATCTAATGTAAGGCAAAGCTCGTCAAGTCATTTTGATTAACAGAAGGGGCGAAGGAAGAGAGGAATAAAGAGTGCAGTTGACTGTGTACTTCATCTAGGCACTCAGCTGGGGTTTGCTGAAGCATGTAATTTCTCATTTATTTTTTTTTTAATATTTTATCTTTTTTGCCCCTAACCAAGCAGTCGTTATTTGAATGATTTGTGTGTGTTGTAGCTGAAGTTTGTCCTGTGGAAAAGAGGAAAGTAGCTGACTGTCCAAATTAGTTGAGGGCAGGCATTTCATGAGTCAAGGGCACAGGTTGCAATATCAGTAACATTTAGACAACTTCTTATCACATGGATTGCCGACAAAAATGTATGCAGCACAAAGGAAATAACCAGCAATTGTTTTGGTTTTCTTTTCTTTAGATAATATTCTAAGTAGCATTAGACAACTTGTTGACGCCACTTATCTTTTTTAAGTTAGTGTAGGTGGTATTGCATTTTTTATTTAGTTGAAGTATGTGATGCCTAGAATATTTATTTATATTTTGAGGGGTTTTATAACCCCAATATTTGCTCAGTGAACTCAACTAAATGAAGGTAATGGGCATCCTGTGCCAGCTGCCTGCCCCACGCACAGCACTACGGCAGCGAGTGCAGCTCTCACAGGGCTGCCAAGACCTGCTTCTGAACAGGAGATGGGAACTGTGGCTCTCCGCTAAGCCCACTCAACGAACCAGAGGGCACCAAGATGTTTTTCACTTCTTCTTTCTTGCTAGAAGGAAGACTCAGAATCAAACCGTAAATATTTAGTCTCAGTCTGGCTCATGGTCTGCTCAAGGCAAGGCCATAATGAGCTTATCAAAAATACTCTTCTAATTGTTTTAATTATCCTAAACAAAAACATAAACTACTTTTCTCTACTTACACTCTTACTATACTATATATTTTAATTTTTTCCATACTGATGGTGGGAAGTCATAGAGAAGCAGGAGTGCTGGCAAGTAGGTGGAGCTGTGTGTATCCCTAACATTTAAATCTCTGTATCTGAAAGGCATTGCTGAAAGGTAGTGTTTACGTATTTCTGTGTTAAAATTAAATTATCAGAGAGTTTAGCAGGGTGCATGTAGGAAAAAAAAGGACTTTTGTTCCTCTAGAAAAAGCTGATGCTTTATACCAATCTGTGTGATTGTTCTACAGGTTTTTTGTACACATGGCACATAGTATAATGACTAATAATATAATGATTGGATAAAAGGTAGGGCAGGTGTTTCTTCTGTGTTTCACCGGGTAAGTGTTCTGGTAATTAATAAATGACAGTGAAAAATAACTAACCCCAATTTTTATTTTTTTTATAACTGATTTTTCAGAAAGTTTGTCAAGTTTTGACTTTGCAGTATGTCATAAATCACATTTTAGCTCATCTTGTAAATAGAGATAAAATTGCCTTCCCAACATATTCCATGTTTTCCTGTGTAATTAACACCTCGTTCACAGCTGTGTCTGCTAGTCAAAGCCCTGCCTTCTTCCCCCTGACACTTCCTTGATACTTTGTTTAGACTGCTGAGATTTTAAGTGTCATCCTCAGGATACTTTAAATAAGTCCAAACAGGAAAAGGAAGGTGCTTCAAGAAGTCAACAGTATAGATCATTATAGCTCAGAGGGACTATTTAAAAAGTATGAAGCAATTTATCTTTGTTTATTACTTACATCATTACCTCTCAATCTGGTTTTCATACTTGCTAAGGAAAGTTTACTGTTTTTCAAAAAAGTCAGGAAATACTAGTTTCCATCTGTATTACTGAAGTAGAGATCAGTCCAAAAGTCTGGATCTAGTTAACAGCAGCCCCCTTTTCTTGTGCATGTGTGCCTTTCCCAGTACCGTGCCCTCTGTCAGGCCAGGCAAGCTACTCGGTTGCCCAGTGAACTGCATCAATGAACCGATCAAAGTCAAAAACAACTCTACTTTTTTGTGGGCCATCCTTAGCCTGGATGAGTTCCCAGCTCTGGCTAGTCACAGGGCTGCGTGGACAGTGTTACCAACACAGCAGAGGACATGCTGGGGGAGGGTTGTAAGGGGCAGTATAGCCTTGAGCCCAATATAGGCACCTAGTACCATATTTTGGTTCTGAAAATTTACTCTGAGCTGCCCCAGTTACAACCCGGCATGTGCGAGTACTGGCGGGATTAAACAGCTCAGCACATAACATATGTCTCAGCTAGTTAAGACCCAGGAATTTGGCACTCCAAATATGCTGAGATGGGTTTTTTTTTCATGTTGCCCTTAAAACACACTGACTGACCGAGGACCTTCATAAAACTGTGGTGGCAGGGTGCATGTCGTGTGGCACAGCCCGGTGGATGAAACACGTCCCCACAACCCTTGTTCGGTTCTTTCTTCAACTTGAAGGGCTCCGAATCCCTACCTCCTGCTTCTCAGGAGAGTCTCTGGCATCTAGGCAAGAGGTTACCCTGGTGAGCTGCACGGTGTGAGGAAGAGGGATTTTCCATCCTTACTGTCATCATCTTGTTTCCCCTCAGCATAGATCAAGATTAATGAGAGGTAGAGCGTGAGAGTCGTTCCCTACAGATCAGGGCTCTCACCTGTAAAGAGCAAAGCTGAGATTTCAGTCGCCGTTCCTTAGATTACTTCTGCAGTTTGTGTGAGATCATCATTTGATAAAACACAGAAGCAGGCTTAGAATTAGGGATCATAGCTTACAGAAATACCCCTATGTGTTAATTGTGAGCTGTCAGCAAGCATTTTCATTTTTTAAGTTCTTAAGCCAAGGCTTCACCAGGACGTCCCCCTAATGCTTTTTGTTAATTTACGTTTGCCATATGCAAGGGAAAAGTTTAGTCTTTATGGATATAATACTTTTTTTTTTACCATCACACCTAGAATTAGGGATCATAGCTTACAGAAATACCCCTATGTGTTAATTGTGAGCTGTCAGCAAGCATTTTCATTTTTTAAGTTCTTAAGCCAAGGCTTCACCAGGACGTCCCCCTAATGCTTTTTGTTAATTTACGTTTGCCATATGCAAGGGAAAAGTTTAGTCTTTATGGATATAATACTTTTTTTTTTACCATCACACCTATGTATTTGTTGTTCTCAGCTGTTGTTTCTAAAAAATGTGCATAAGATTTCAGCTTGGCAATAAAGTTGTAAATGACTGTAAATTACTTCCATTTTTATGTTGATCTTCCTAAAAAAAGCATGTGTGAAAACAGCAGTTGTTCAATCGAGTTCTGTAGTAAAAAATTGTAATAATTACATGTGCATTTTTTTTGGACTACGAGTGGAAAGTCTTGCGTTAACTTAAGTAGACTTTTATGGACCTTAAGTTTTAATGCAAATGATGTTGCATTTGCAATATATACACAGACAGTAGTAATTGCATAAGGAAGGTGAATTGGTTTTGCAAAGAAATTTCTGACTTTTCTGCTTGTTCTCACATCCTGGAGAAGAAGGGTATGGGTGTTTGTTAATTGGGTTATATTGCACATACGTACTTACTGTGCAAGTCAGGGTGACCACTGCAGCACAGTTTAACATCCCAAGCTCTGGTATATTCAGATAAAATACAATTTTTTATTGTATTTTACACCTCATCAAGATGCTCTGTTTATAGCCCTATCAATGTGCACTCACATTTGAGACATAGCTTTAAAACGTGAAAGTAAATGTTACAGTGATGCAAATATACTGTTTGTCATAATTATTAAAAACAATCCTAAAATTACTAGAATTGGATAGCATTGCCGTGACTGATACAGAGTATTCTTTTGGACAGTTTTTGAACTTTTTGATAATAAGCAAGGCAATAAATCTTTCTTTTAAAGAAAATTCTTACTCCAAATCAGTCACTAGCTGTAACATTTATAAACGTCTGTTGTTCTTTTTTTGTTTCCAGGGAAGACGAGGCAAACCAGGCCTCCCAGGAAAACCGGGGCCACCAGGACCTCCTGTGAGTAACTAACGAGGGGAATGGGAAATTTTCATTCTATCCTGGAACAGTGAACTTAGCATTTTTATAGCAGGTTATTACCTGATCATAATTATGGTTGAAAACAATTGATGCATGTTTACTCTGCTGCATCAAACAGCTACTATCCCCAGTCTTTTGATACAGCAAAGGTAAAAGGACTGGGTCCAAAAATACAAGAGACTACACAGGAGGGAAAGAACAAGATGCAAACTTCATCGAAGGAAGCAAAAATTGTCAGGCATTTCAAAGAAAGACTGGCCATGTATGCTAAATGTGAATACTGTGCATTCATTCACTTTGCAAAATGTATGATGCTCTGTAGAAGATGGGATAATTTCTGTCTCAGAGGGGTAATTTGAAAGATGAAGGACTGTGTGAAGCATGTGCCAACTGTCTGAATGGTGGGGAGGATTATACCCAGCACTGGAATGAGCACTCAGCTGTGGTTCAAATGAGTTTACTGAAGAATTAAAAAGATTAAGAAATACATGACTCTATGGAAGGATTTGTAATATGAAGCACTAAAGGGTTTAGCTCAGATCTAAGAGGTTTGGGATTTTTTTTTTTTTAAGAGAGACATGATTTCAAATTTGAAGTCAGGCATGGATCTATTTTAGCCTAGAATGAATGCAGCCTTCCTTTGGTAGAGAAAGACTTGATCATATTTGTAACATTCCCTATATATTGTATTGTAAAAATGCTGTTGTGCACAAATACAAAACAGTTATTTGTTTGTAGATTAAGTAAACTGCTGCTTTACATTTTTAGGATCAAACAAGGATTTCATAATTCCTTTTTCTGTTTACCTGGAATAGGTGAACGCCAGTAGTTTATGTGTCAGAACGTTTGATTCATCTACTGCAACCTCACTGCAAGGGAAAACTAGTCTTATTTGTACGTAAGAGAATAATGGACTGCTGCGTGAAATACAATGAATAAAATGAAAGAGATGTAATTTAAACTCATCTAAAAATGAAACTGCATAAATTTTATATTTTTTCCCCCCTTCTCCTTGCAAAATGTGTTCAGAAAGAGGAGTTGATGATGGAGTTCATTTATCCTGCATAAAACTAAATAGTTAAAAATCCCTCCCTCTCCCTCTTCTCCCCTCCATATAGTCATATTGAAGCCTTGTTTATTTGAGTCTTTTGTACAGCTTGGGCTTCCTAATGCTGAAATGGTACTGCAGACTGCGGGAGTTAAAACAGAGGAAAGGAGTGATGCAGAATCTTTCTTAATACAAATGCCAAAAAATGACCTTTAAAAGGAAAAAAAAAAACAAAAAGCAAAAAAACCCCAAACCATAGCAGACGTCAATGTTAGGCCTAATCTGCTTAGCTTTTTGTGAACCAGTGAAAAGCTATTTCTCCATTACAGATTTCTGCCACCATAGATTTGCTGGCAGGTCAGGCTTGTCAAGGTGTATGATCCTTGACAGACATAGCAGAAATCTTGAGTGGAAGCTAAATGGCACTTTTATTACTGAGACCTATTTCAGATTTTCTTACAGCAAATGGGAAGCTCAACTTTGTCAGCACAGCAGCATCCCTACGAGGAGCTCTGTATGGATACTGTAGCCAAGCACTACATATCAGAAAAGCATTCCTCAAGCAACCATAGCCTAAATATTGGTTAAAGGTATTTGTTTCTGGTATAACTATGTTGATGCAGTCCTTTCTTTGGATACAGCTACACCAGCATCTTGTGTTCCTCTTCCAAGATTGAGAATACAATGCATAGAAAAAGTATACTTTAAAAGCAGTAATGCCCGTTAATGCACATTGGCAGTATCCTCATATTTAAAGTGCTACCGCTTGTACATACTGAAAAGACTTTAACATGATCCATTGTTCCTCCTCTCTTTTTCAAGGCTCAAACCATATTAAATTTTTGCTACATTGTTACCCCTTCTCTTCTACTAGTAAGTAGTGGCACATGGATATATTATTGGCCTTTACCTTGGCCTTCCTGAAGTGCAACAGAACTATCGCACCTGCAGGGTGGTTGCTATCTAAGTTTGGCATATACAGGGTACAAAAGGCTTAGCAGATTGGCGGAACATGTAAAAATTAGACTCTCCAGAAAAAGTAAGTTTGGTGTTTGTTTGATGTTTCAGAAGAATATGATACTTGTGTTTGAGAAAAAGCAGATTCAGTCATTAATTGTTAGGGTAGCTAGAGTACACACTGCGTGTTTGAAATTAATAAATTTACCTAATTTATTTATCAGTTTATGCCATGACTTTAAGTACTTAATTTAGACATTAGGAGAACAGCCAGGTGTTCAGTAATGACAAAAAAACCTGTGAGAAGGACAGTTCTGCCTCCTTGAGGAAGAAGTTGGTGAACAGGATACAATACTCGGGGGATTTGGTATAAAGGACAGTCCTAAAAAAAGTGTGTGCAGGGAGGGATTATGACACCACATTCTGAACAGTCAAACGGGCTTTAGATTGGACACTACTAAGTGGTGTGAGTTTTGATTAATTAAAGTAATAATTTTTTACCTGTTTGTTACATGGCAGCATTTAAGATTTTCTTGATATTCTTATCTGCCTCTAATCTGACTTTTCTAACCCTCTCTCAATACCTCATCTTTTTTTTTCCTAACCTAATTTCTGGGGATTTTTTTTCAGTAAAATTGATGTTTGTAGTGACTTTCTAGTCCCTTAACATCATCTGCATATCTTTGGTTAAAAACCTGTATCAGTGTCAGAAATGTAGATTGATTGGCAATTGGTGGTGAAACTACTCAGTTAAAGTGGGACTTTCTATGCAACTTATAGAATAGAATCATAGAATCATTAAGGTTGGAAAAGACCTCTAAGATCATCGAGTCCAACCGTCAACCCAACACCACCATGCCCACTAAACCATGTCCCTAAGACCCTCATCCACACGTCTTTTAAATACCTCCAGGGATGGGGACTCAACCACTTCCCTGGGCAGCCTCTTCCAATGTTTCACCACTCTTTCAGTAAAGACATTTTTCCTCACGTCCAATCTCAACCTCCCCTGGCGCAACTTGAGGCAGTTTCTTCTCGTCCTATCGCTAGTTACTTGGGAGAAGAGACCGACACCCACCTCGCTACAACCTCCTTTCAGGTAGTTGTAGAGAGCGATGAGGTCTCCCCTCAGCCTCCTCTTCTCCAGGCTCAACAACCCAGTTCCCTCAGCCGCTCCTCATAAGACTT